CCCAACACCGGCATTATGGAAACCCCCCTAGAGGTATATGCTTGTAGATCCTTGATGATATCTACCTGTAGATCCTTGATATCTACTTGTAGATCCTTGATATCTACTTGTAGATCCTTGATGATGTCTACTTGTAGATCCTTGATATCTACTTGTAGTTCCTTGATATCTACTTGTAGATCCTTGATGATGTCTACTTGTAGATCCTTGATATCTACTTGTAGATCCTTGATGATGTCTACTTGTAGATCCTTGATATCTACTTGTAGTTCCTTGATATCTACATGTAGATTTTGATATTTACTTATAGATACTTGATATCTACTTGTAGATACTTGAAGCTACTCCTAGCTGCGTATGTATGTATGTATGTATGTATGTATGTATGTATGTATGTATGTATGGGATATAGAAATACAATAACTGTGTACACTTAATACTATAAGAAAGGAGGAACTCTGCAGCGGGGCTGTTGACCCACACTAGGCAGGTCTTTCTCAAAAATATTCCCCCAACCCATTATCAGTGTTACCCAACACTGATAATGTGTTTAATTTATATCTGAGGCTACCCAAGGTTCTAGCTTAAATAACTCTACTAAGCAGACTGTTCTACGCATCCACTGCTCAATTTCCAAACCAATATCCTTTTTAAATCTAAATTTATCCAATTTTATTTCATTATTTCGAGTTCTTTCTTGAGTATTATCCTCAGAACCTCATTTATATCTGCCTTATTTATGCCCATCTTAAACTTATACAATTCAGTCATATCTCCTCTCATTCTACGTCTTACAAGTGGATGTAGGTTAAAGGATGTCATTCTTCGTATGGAATATTACAAGTGGATGTAGGTTAAAGGATGTCATTCTTCGTATGGAATATTACAAGTGGATGTAGGTTAAAGGATTTCATTCTTCGTATGGAATATTACAAGTGGATGTAGGTTAAAGGATGTCATTCTTCGTATGGAATATTACAAGTGGATGTAGGTTAAAGGATTTCATTCTTCGTATGGAATATTACAAGTGGATGTAGGTTAAAGGATGTCAATTTTTCGTATGGAATATTACAAGTGGATGTAGGTTAAAAGGGTTTCATTCTTCGTATGGGGAAAATTACAAGTGGATGTAGGTTAAAGGAGTCATTCTTCGTATGGAAATATTACAAGTGGTTAGGTAAAGGATGTCAATTCTTCGTATGGAATATTACAAAAATGAATTAGGTTAAAAGGATGTCATTCTTCGTATGGAATATTAAAAAGTGGATGTAGGTTAAAGGATGTCATTCTTCGTATGGAATATTACAAGTGGATGTAGGTTAAAGGATGTCATTCTTCGTATGGAATATTACAAGTGGATGTAGGTTAAAGGATGTCATTCTTCGTATGGAATATTACAAGTGGGGGGGGGGTGTAGGTTAAAGGATGTCATTCTTCGTATGGAATATTACAAGTGGATGTAGGTTAAAGGATGTCATTCTTCGTATGGAATATTTCTTTTGCTATAGGATAATGTGAGTCGTATGTTGTTATGTAGGTGGTGTTTTGTCTGCTTGAGTATTATTAGCATATCTGACTGTCAAGCAGACACAGCACCACATACCTCACAACACAGGAGTCACATGATGCTCGAGCAGACACAGCACCACATACCTCACAACACAGGAGCACATGATGCCGAGCAGACACAGCACCACATACCTCACAAACAGGAGTCCCCATGACGCTCAAGCAGACACAGCACCACATACCTCACAACACAGGAGTCACATGATGCTCAAGCAGACACAGCACCACATACCTCACAACACAGGAGTCACATGACGCTCAAGCAGACACAGCACCACATACCTCACAACACAGGAGTCACATGATGCTCGAGCAGACACAGCACCACATACCTCACAACACAGGAGTCACATGATCCTATTGTCTACCTGTCCTCATCCCAGTGTCATTCTTCAGGTCACCATGCGTCACTCTCACCTCACTCAGGTCACCATGCGTCACTCACACCTCACTCAGGTCACCATGCGTCACTCACACCTCACTCAGGTCACCATGGGTCACTCACACTTCACTCAGGTCACCATGCGTCACTCACACCTCACTCAGGTCACCATGGGTCACTCACACTTCACTCAGGTCACCATGCGTCACTCACACCTCACTCAGGTCACCATGCGTCACTCACACCTCACTCAGGTCACCATGCGTCACTCACACTTCACTCAGGTCACCATGCGTCACTCACACCTCACTCAGGTCACCATGCGTCACTCACACTTCACTCAGGTCACCATGCGTCACTCACACCTCACTCTCCGCCTATATATACTCTCTTTTTTTAACCTCTGTATGTTAGAAGTGATCAAGGTCCCAGAACCCAAGCATTTTCTATTAAATATGACCTAGTGTTTCTTTACCTGTCTTTCTAAACCAATTTGTGGATATTTATTACCAGGGTTTATATAATTTTTGTCATTCTTCTTTGAATATTCTCTAACGAATTTATATCCATTTTGTAGTATGGAGACCAGAACTATTCTGCATATCTATTTGAGGCCTTAATGATCATGTGTAGACCCTGAAAACGACGTCAGTGCCTAGAGAATTACCCATACTTGGCAGGTCCTTGTGAAACCCAAACCCACTAATATTAACCCAGCCCATTAACCCTGTTAACTCAAGTGTAAGTCCCATTCAAATCCAACCCCTCTCACTGATGCATTTATCTAACCTGTATTTGAAGCTATCTCAAGCTTTTAGCTTCAATGACCCAATTATTTCCAAACCAGTACTTTTCTATATCCTTTCCCCAATGGAAATAAGTCACTCTGTCTTACTATTTTGGGTTATACTAGGTACTTTTACATTCTGCTATGAATAATCTTTTTAAATTTTTTCGTAACCTAGTAAACTTACTTATTAAAAATCTAAATTTATCCGTCTGTTTTTATTCAGCCGCGCCACCCCCAACCACTGCTCCCATCATCTTTGCCGCTGAAAACACGGAATCAGAGGAAAATTACCACATGTGAACATCTGGCTTTCGCCGTCCAGGGCTTTATCAATACAGGACCAGACCAAACTTACTTCGAAGTTTCGGTCCAAATCGGCCCCGAAACACGTAAAGGGTTTTTTCTCTCATAATGCAGTTGGGAATTTTTCCCACCACATTTTGTGACTTTTTGTTTTTTTGTTCCACTTTTTCCCAAATTTTTGGTTCGCATTTCGAGGATTAACATTTCATTCTTGTTCCTGAAAGTTGTTCAAACATTATCGGGTAGTGACGCTTTCTTGTACTTTTTTTAGTTGTTTCACCAGTTGGATTTCAGAATGCAAGTCAGTCTTTAAGAGAAAAATCACTCCCTCAGAGTCACTCCCCCAGAGACTTCCCCAAGTACACTCGCAAGTACACCCCCTCAAGTACACCCTGGGGGATGTACTCCAACGTGGGGTAACAATTAAATTTTCTTTTAGTTCTACCACGCAAAGAACATTTTATAATACTTTTTTTCTATTCTCTCTCTCTCCTCCTCTCTCCCCTTCTCTCTCTATATATTATTTATATATATATATAATATATATTATATTATATATATATATAATTAAAAATACATGTATATTTACTTCAAGATTTTGAAGAGCCTTGAGCTGACGAGGGACTCTGAACCAGGAATGGAGCCCCTTTCTCTTACTCGCATCAAATATTTACTTCCCATTCCCCAGGCGGTGTATGACCCCTGAGTATTTAGCTTTTTCTCTTTAACTCAGTTACAGTGTAGGCAACCATGATTTAGTTAGTCGGCCCAAAATAAAAGGTTTATTCAGGGGGGCTTCCTTAAATTTAAATTTAAAAACCCTGGATGTGCTGGGTTAATGAAAGCCCTTTTAATAATAAAATTTAATATTTTATTAAACCATGATACAGTAATACGGGTGTAAAAAGAGAAACCCACACAAAATTTTCTACTTGAAGGTTTTGGGACACGTGGGGCAGCGAGGGGGGGCGGAGGAACAGGTGGGCTTTTGTCACCTTGACGACCGCCCCCAACCAGGAGCTGTGACTCGACCCCCCAACCACAAATAGGTGATACCTGGAAATGAATGTGTGAGAGTGTAACGACGCCACAAGGGAAAGTGACTTCGCACCAGTAGCCTCGCGCCTGCGTTCCTCCAGGCCCTGTTTTTTTACCTTTTTTTTATCTTTCCCTGGTTTTTCCCGGCATTTGGCGTTTCTTCGTTAGTAAAGATCGTTTTTTCTTTATGTACATACAAATCTGTACGTTTAACAGACATACAGTGATACAAATCAATTTTTTTATTTTGTGTATAAACGCCTCGGATTTTTTTTCTGGGGTAACTGAAGAAAAAGAAATATTCTTTTATTTATTTTTGGGGGGAGGTGACAGAGCAAATATCTTACTTGGTTATGTTAAATTAAAGTTTATAAAATAAAAAAAAGTTAACCCGTTTTGAATAGCCTGGTAAACTCGTGTATAAATTATTATTAACATTATTATTTAATACTGGTTAATACGTAACCGACACATAAATAAACGGAATTGTTCCAAATGTGTGTATTAATATGATATTAATCCCCTTTAACACTTTACTTACTCCATTTTTTTAATAAATTTTGTTTTTTTTGTTTCAGTTATTATACAATTACTCTTTTTCCCCACTTTTTTTTATTTTTAATTTTTTTTAAGGATAATTTAAAGTCAGGAATTTTTTATTTTTTTTTTAAAATACAAAATTTTAAAAAACTTTTTTTTTCTTAACATTTTTTTAATTATTCACTTTATCAAAAATTTAAACGCATTTTTTTTTTAAATATTAAACGAACCATAAGAAGAGGTGAAACCATGATTTTAAAAGGGCCATTAACAGAGGCCCCTGTTTTCCCTGATTAAAGGGTCACTGGGGAAAGGGAATTAATAGGGGCTACTGGTTCCCGGGTTTAACAGGCCACTGTCACGAGCCACTGCCCCTTGATTAACGCTGAACCACTGGTAGCCAGCATCACTGGACCTCGTTTAAAAACTTCGGATACACCATTTGGTCATATATACAACACGAATTATATACAAAGAAATAGAAAGGGAAAAGTTACGCCTTGAACCGAGTTGATGTACGCTATGTATAGGATGTGCGTGTCATATACGCTATAGGAGAAGGCTATCAAAACTGACTCTGCCCCACTCATTGAAGTATACGGAAGTGGATTACAGTCTAAGAGCTCCCCGCTCCTCTCGCTATACAGAAGAGCTGCTATAGAAGAGACTCTCAAAAGTTGCTATACATAGGACCTTCAGACATGTCACGTGGTGACTGTAGCGACGTAGAAGGTTCCTGAGGAAGGGGTAGTAGAAGCCATGTGAGCCCAGAGATAGGATGCCCTCGCCTCCATGAAGCCGTCCTCCAGGAAGCCATCCATGAGTAGCGTTCAGCACCACCAAGTACCGTGCGCATTTCTCCTTCAGGACAGTGTGGACCTAGGAAGGCAGGTTGTGCGAGTGTCGCACCTTCAGGAGGGTCTGGGGATGACGGTGGTGGGTCTCTGTATAAATGATCAGTTATTTTTTTGCAATTATTGAGTGTCAGGTATTGAGAGCCTGCTGAGCACTGTCTCAGGCATCCGGAGATCTTGCGCACACTCGGGAGTATTTTACAGAGGAAGTGACGACAGCTCACCACCCCCCACCGGAAGACCAGTTGGCTGGGTGTCGCGGGCGTTACGCTATGACGGTATTCATGCAGGAGAACTTGTCAGTGGGCGCCGCCGTGGTGAAGAAGGCGTTGTTGTCTGCTACCGGAGGAGACCTGGTATCTGTCCCGCCGCTGGAGTACGAGAAGGCCGGGGAGTGGGACTTAGCCTTGAGGCGGAGTGAGGCGATGGAGGAGGACATGGAGGAGGTCTGGTCGCGGTAGACGTAGGGAGGTGTCGGGGCCGGGTAGGGGCACGGGGCAGCACTAGAGCCCAGGGAGGAAGACATGGTGGTGGGCATAAGGTTAGCAGAACCGCCCATACTCTGAGTCGGTGTCTGGAAGCAGTTGATGGGAGACATGGCTGAGGGTTGCTGGCTCATGAGGGGGTTCATGTTGACTCCGTTGAAGCCCCAGGCGAAGCTCTTGGCCCCCAGGGGTGGCGGTGTGACCTTGGCCCAATTGTTGTAGGAGTAGCCGGAGTAGAGACCATCGTCAGGCCAGGCCAGACCGTTGAGCTGGGCGCCCCAGCCACCCTTCAACTCTCCCGGCATTCCTGCCGTCATAGCGTGACGCTCCCGCTTCCGCCACTTGGCTCGACGGTTCTTGAACCAGATCTGAGGAAGAGAAAACCTTGAGTTAGTTGACGGTAACACAGCTATAATACATGATCAGTACACACACACACACACACACACACACACACACACACACACACACACACACACACACACACACACACACACACACACACACACGTACCCCCACACACCATACGTCAACACTATCAACGAAAGACATACACATGTTACCATGTTTTGCAAAGGGCAAGGGAAACTATTGTGAAGGACTTGGGAGTGTTAATGTGAGAGGATTGCACCTTCAAGGATCACTCAAAACAAGGTATGCCATGTCAGTGATTCGTTTTAAATCACTTCTTCTTTCTAGACTAGAATACTGCTGTACACTAACAACTTCATTCAAGGCAGGTGGAATCGCAGATCTAGTTCCGTCAAACATCTTAATTACTGGAAACGCTTGGAAGCACTTGATCTGTACTCAGTGGAGCGCAGGCGAGAGATATATCATAATCTACACTTGGAAAATCCTAGAGGGACTGGTCCCTAATCTGCACAGAGAAATCACTCCCTACAACAGCAAAAGACTTGGCAGGCGATGCTACATACTCCCAATAAAAAGTAAGAGCGCCATTAGTACACTTAGGAGAAAACACAATAAGTGTCCGGGGCCCAAGACTGTTCAACAGCCTCCCGCCAGGCATAAGGGGAATTGCCAATAGACCCCTGGTTATCTTCAAGAGGGAGCTGGAGAGATACCTAAAGTCAGTACCTGATCAGCCAGGCTGTGGGTTCGTACGTTGGTCTACGTGCGGCCAGCAGTAACAGCCTGGTTGTTTAGACCCTGATCCGCCGGGAGGCCTGGTCAACGACTGGGCCACGGGGGCATTGACCCCCGGAACGACCTCCAGGAAGACCATCAACACACAACACAAACACACCAACCTATAATCACACATACCATCACTACAAAAACCTACACTTAACATTACCACACACGCACACACACCACAAAACGCCATAAATGAAGTTGAGAGAAATCCTAAATACTTTTTCTCATACGCAAAATCAAGGGCTAAAACCACATCCAGTATCTGGCCCTTACTTAAAGCAGATGGATCCTACACTGATGACAACAAAGAAATGAGCGAAATAATCAAGTTACAATATGACTCTGTGTTCAGTGAGCCATTAATCAGTCTAAAGATTG